ACTCATTTATGCGAAGACTTGGCCAGGTTCCAGCCCCCCGCAACAGCGGAAAAGGCTGCGCTGATGTTGTTGCGAGAACTGTTTGCAACAATGGGGAAGGACATCAACTCATACGTCTGGTTGCCGCAAACTTAGATCTTGCTGGTTTTGAGAGACACAGTCGTGAGATTGAGGCTGAGCGTGGTATATTGGTGAGTGATGCAGATCTAAATAGCATTTCTTTCTCGAAAGCTCATCAAAAGATTGCATTTGACACTGTGATGGAGGCTGTTTACTCTTCTTGTGGGGCTGTTTTCTTTGTTGATGGTCCAAGTGGGACTAGTAAAAGTTTTTTGTATCGGTGCTTGTTGGCAGCCACTCGGTCAAACAAATGGATAGCTCTTGCTACTGCAAGCTCTGGCATTACTGCATCCATTTTGCCAGTTGACGTACTGCACATTCACGCTTTAAACTGCCGCTTGATGTTGAGTCAAAATATATATGCAATATTGGCAAACGCTCAGCTAAGGCCAGACTCCTTAAAGAAGCACATCTGATCCTGTGGGATGAAACATCCATGGCAAATCGAAAGATTATTGAGAGCCTTGACACAACTTCAAGGGACATCCTTGACGTAGATTCCCTTTTTGGAGGAAAAGTCATGGTCTTTGACGGTGATTTCAGACAAACTTTACCCGTGGTCCGATCTGGGTCAAGGAAAGATTTTGTTGATGCATGCTTGATAAAATCATTGACAATATGGTCTCATGTCCACCGCATGCGTTTGATACTACACATGCGGACGCATGAAGATCCTGCCTTTTGTGACTACTTTTTGCGTGTTGGCAATGGAACCGAACCAACTGACGCATGTGGCAGAATAAAGATCCCCTCCAACTTTATTTTGCCTTGGATTGATGAAGCTACTTCGTTGGATTTACTTTTTTCAGCCGTGTATCCGGATTTGCACGTGTTTCAAACTGACCCTTATTGCCTAATGTCACGTGTTGTGCTTACTACAAAAAATGACATTGTAGACTTCATCAATTCATCTTTGATGGTCAAGTTTCCTGGGGAAGAACACACATATCTTAGTTACAACACCGCACTTGAGTCTAAATACATGCACTTCGAAGATTACCTGCATACATTATCCCCTGCTGGTTTGCCCCCCATAGATTAACTTTGAAGCATAATTGTCCTGTGATGTTGCTGCGCAACCTGAATCCATGTGAGGGCCTGTGCAACGGGACCAGGTTGATATGTGACTTATTCGGATATCATGTCCTAAGTTGTTTCATTGCCTCGAAAGATCACATAGGAAAACATGTTTTCATCCTCAAGATTCCTTTGGAAATCTCTAAAGATGAACACTGTACTATGTCATACAAACGCACTCAATTTCCCATCAAAGTTTGTTTTGCCATGACGATAAACAAATCCCAGGGGCAGACCCTCGACTTCGTTGGTATATATTTGAAAGAACCCGTCTTTTCTCATGGACAGCTCTATGTTGCAATGTCAAGAACTAGAAATGCATAGTCCATTAAAATTGTGATTTGTCCGAATAAGAAGAGGCCAGCGATGCGAAACAGCAAATCCAATGTTGTTTACGATGAAATTGTGCCTTTCATTAACTAAAGGTCACCTAATAGTAGTCCTGTTTTTGTCACTTTTTTTACTACTTCCTTGAATAAACTTACTGTTCTTACATGCTTCCCATCCCTTTTTATGTACAGTCTATTGTAGAAATGGCAGTTGAGATGTTACTAGCGGATGTCAAACCAGAAACACAGAGGTGGACCTGCCGCTGTTTGGATTTAGTTTTTCGTGGGTAACTACAAAACAGCTGAATTTGGGAGTCTGGGTAAAATTAATAGAATCTCGATTCAACCGTTTATCTTATTTTTTAGCTTCAGCCAATTCATCATATGAGTTGCATCAATCAAAATAGTAAAAAAAGGAACACCAATTTTAAGTTTCCTATTTGTTTTGTGCAGTGTAGCACACATAAAACATAAAGGCCTGAATATTATCAGTACCTACAAAAATGACAAATTTTATTTTAGATTCTTGCAAATTTTTTAAAATTTCATGTTCCTATTAAGTGCACCATCACTTAAATGAATGTAATTATAAATACACTTGCCGCCCACTTTCATTTACTCTCCGTACCAACTGCCTCTTCGTCCCTCTGTCTCTCTCTCTACTGCCCGAAGAAGCCCGCGCTCATCGCTAAGCATCTCAGCATCGTTCCTTCTTCCTACCCGTGAGATAGGTAACTTCTCCACACTCCTCTCCCAAACTCTCTGGTTGTCAAAGCTTTATCACTAGGTTAGCCAGGCATGCATTGTGGTGAGATAATCATTCTTGTGTTTTAGTGTAGCCTAATGCTTTTATGCGTTTTTAATTGTTGTCTCCCTGGTCTCCCTGTCCATGCATCTTAGGGTTAGTTTTGATGAACCATTTGAAGTGACAGAGCTTTTGTTTGTTGACAAAAGCTTTAATTTGTTTATTGTTTACAGTTCTATGGATTTGTTCACCAATTGTGTTGTTCAAACTGCCAAGGATGCATGTGGAAGAGAAACACTTACTATGTGAACACAGTCCACGGACGAAGAATTGTTGCTGCTGTGGTTACCCGCACCAATGAGGAGGAGTACGAGTGTCATACAAGTCCAGATTGGAAGAACTTGTTGCGAGCTATTGGCTACTTCAGGCTTATGCCAAAACTATTCAGGAACAAAGCTGAGGTTGAACACAAACTTGCCCATTTTGTGCGCAGAGGTGGCTCAATGCCTATACTCATAGGTTGCATCTCGTTGTTGTTTTCCCTTGTGCACTATTTCACATTCTCTATTGTAACTAAACAGCCCACACCATCTTTGTTCATTTTCACAACTTTTTAATTGCTATTGTTTGATCTTTGTAGCGTGCCAACGGAATGGTTTGTTTCATTTCCCAGATGTCATGCAATTCACATTTGTTTGGTTTCTCTTGAATGCCACTGACATTGAGTCTGTTGTACACTTCCTCCATGCCATTCCCATTTCCTTATTAGTTTATTGCTTTTTATTTTAACACAACACCTATTTACATCGAAATGATATGGTACAGAACATACCTGTGTGCATGCGTCGACGTCTGTTTGAACATGCCAAACTGTACGCTCGCCTTATTTATGGTGCTACATCCTGGACAGTCAAAGTTGATGACTTCTCTTTCTCCAATGGATTTGTTGACTTCTTAGTGGAAAACAATGTTGGGTTCGGCACATACCTTCTCCTACGACACATTGGCGATTTCACATTCCAGGTGTTGATGTTTGATGAATTGGGGTTCTCTTTAAACCTAGCTGTAAAACCAAGTGTTTCTTCCAACACATCAGCGCAGCCAGGTACTCTGACTGCATTGTCCTTTTTGGTTTGGGTTCCACCCCTTGCACATACTGTTTTTAGTTAGGTTGCCGCTCACTTCCCATGTCTATCATTTTGTCTATATGAAGGGTCAATCCATGTATGAGTTCTTTATGTATATTCCTCAAAACTGCAGATGAATTCCCTGTCTATGTGGAGTCCTCTCTTCCAAATTGCTCAAACCGGCGACTGTATTGTCCTCCCTGTACTGTCCTCCCTCTTTTCTGTATGTGCGAAAGAAAACTTCTAAGGTATGTGCACTCTTCCATTCCTTGATGTTTTATTATTTAGTTTTCCACTATCTATTGTTTCACGCTTTTTTTAGAGGCTTGAACGCATTGTCCAAGAAACAATGAAACTGAAGTAATACAACACATTTATTGTTTATATAAACTTTCATATTGAGGTGTGTAGTTGTGTCAGGTAACATCCCTGCAACTCACAATCACCCAAACAGCAAACAAAACCCACACCACAGGGTCAGAATCCAGCACAAGACAGTGCTAAAATTGTATGTTTCCTTAAAGTATGTTCTTGATTTCTAATGCAGCAATGTTGGGAGGCGTTTTTGAGGTCATGTGTTGACATGAGGGGCAGGTTGCAAGTGCACTATGGCAAGGATGATGGATATTTTGTGCTTGAGGAGGAACCAATGTTACGCGATATTCAAATGACTTTTGACTTGAACCGTGATTGCACTTTGGCCATTATCAAGTATGGCCGTGGTATGGCACTGATGATGGTCATTTCAGCATGCGGAATGGAAGAAACATCCACTCGCTCCAAGAAATATGAGATCTCCACCCCTGTATGCAACAACACCTCCGGCCCTTCCTAATCATTATTGATCAAGCTTGTACCTTTTTTTGTTCATGGTGTATCTTAGTGTAACCTTTAAACAACAGTAACATCCACCTGTTTGATCTGCCCTTTAAGTTAAACACTCGTAACTACAAAATCCAATGCCTGGTGTTTGTGTAAATGCCGCATTGGACTCCTTTTTTGCTGTGAACAGATGGTTCAAACTGCATAAATGCATTGTATTTTGTCATTTATTGTCTCGTTTATTTTCCCTCATTGGGCATCGTCTGTCGCGCAACGCGCGCGTCGAAGCTAGTGTATATATATATATACACACACGGCTCAGTTATACGCCTCATTGCGCAATGAGGCTTATACAATATGCAATTCTAAAAATTCACCTCGATAATGCAATACGCAATTGCGAACCTTGGGCCAATGGATCAACTTTCATAAATTTACATAAACATAAGCTCATTGTTTCAAATGGGAGGTATTGTTTGGAAAAACTCAATTAATAAATATGGTAGTTGTTTTGAAAAAACTTCTTTTTGGATGGACAAAATAAGCATTATTAAATCTAAAAAGCATTAATATAAAGTACTTGATTCCATGAAAGCACACTACATGCAGAAAAACTCAACGAGTATCATGGATATTTTGTTGGTCATAGGCTAGACGGAGGCACACATGAAATTGGTCAATAATATAAAGAGGTAAGCTTCACATAATTAGATGGTAAAACAGTGAGTGAAATTATATTGGAAACACGAAACATTTGCAAAAATGTTTTAGCTTACCTACCATAACGAGCCAAAAGATTGGTCCTGTGATATGCAATGGTAAGGTTATACTTGAGGAAGGTAAAGCCACGATCTGCACCAGCAGGATGCCATTTCTTCACTTCACCAGACACTCGTTTTAAAGTACAAAACAAGGAGACAAACATGTTCCTATTTAAGGAGTCACCAATAAACCCTGCACTGTTACAAGCAGCCATAAAATCTACATCTGGCATAGCACAGCCACAGGTGTCGCTTAACTTTTGAAAGTAAGCAGTCATATATTAATAAACTACAAAAGCAGAGTAATGCATAAACCATATGCAGATTAAATAAAAGTCAGAACTTTGTCAGGCAATTACATATGCATTTTCAATTCAAAACATTGAGCTGAGAAACTAAAAAATTAAAAACAGGAAATATGTTTCCCATAAAGAATCACAGTTTAATATGCGCAAAGACCTCTACCCATGCCATGCCCCCACACAGTGGGATTCCAGCCTGCAATTGACTAAAAAAGTGAGCCTTTGTTAACAATATACTACTAACATAGCCTGTCAGGTCATAGAAGTATTCCTAGTGAATAATCCTCAGATACAAGACAAAGAAAGAGTGGAATACCTAGTAGTTTGTTTTCTCTGAAATTCCTAATAAAGATATATGGAGCAAAAGCAATTATCAATGCATCAATTATCAATTAAATTAGAACCTCTTACAAGAGAAATCCAAAATTGAGCAAAAGCAAGTACAAAAACGAAGCCTCCTTTCCCTCTTAAATCACCATAGAGTAAAAACAACTGTACAAAATCAATAGCTAAAACCACAATTCGCATCAAAATAAGGCATACATTTGAAGGTCTGAGTAGAGAAAAGTACCAATATTGGTGTTTCTGAAACGGTCGAGGAATTGGAGAGCATTGAACTGAGGGAGATTGCACTCGTAGGGTTTCCACCGCCACTTGAAGATATCGAGCGCATTGTTTTTGTTCCTCCCAATGCAATTCCATCCCTTGTATATCTCCTTGCAGGTATCATCATAGCGAGGAGACTTGACTGTCGGGTCATAGATCCACCGTCCATGCGAAACATTGCAAGAAGGAGAGAACAACGGTTCCCGGTTGGTGGGACTGTCATTTGGAGGTGAAGATGGAGAGGACTTCAACAGCAAAAACCTAAAGAAGAGAGCGGCAACACAGAGTAGACAAAGAAATAGGGAAGAAGGAGAGAAGAATGAGAAATATGAAGATGGTTGTTTCAGCTTCTTGGAAAGAGGGTGCATGATGGTTGCTCTGTCCGGGCTGCGGATCCGACCCGCCGGCGTATAGTTCTCGCTTTGCTGCGCTCATTCATTCAAGAAACAGTTAACAGTAGATCTAAATAAATTCACCAATTCCATCCGAAACAAGGCTAAATAAAAAATTCCCATTTGTACATCCCAGTTTTTACACGCCAAGTTACACGTCGATCAAATTGTCTGTCTATAAATAAATTAATAGGCTACACAAACAATTTGATCAGCGTTTTATGAAAACTGATTTTCACACAAACAAAAAAAAACTGTATCACAGACATTTTAATGTTCTTGTTCAAAATTCTCATTTAAAATTGTTTGTATCACAAACATTTTATAGAAATTCTCGTCTAAAATGTCTGTGATACAGACAACTCTTTATTTTTGTCTGTGTAGAAATCGATTTTCTTCAAATTGTCTGTATAGCCGGTCAAATTGTTTGTACACAGACAATTTGACCAGTGTATAACCTGATGTGTAACCGGCGTGTACACGAAGCGGGGCTCAAATAACATTTCTGCAAAAACAAAGGATGACACCCATCCTGAGGGTCCCAACAAGGACACGATGGTAAATTGGAAATAACATTCTACTACCTCCGTCCCGGTGGACTTTGTCAAGTGCAAAGTATGTGAGAAACAAGAATAGTAAGAATGTGTGGTTGAGATTTGTGTAGAATAGAGAGAAAAGTGTAGAACCACAAATTAGTTGCTTTAATAAGAAAGTGTCAAAGTATTTTGGAACAACCAAAAAACAAAAGTTGTTACTAAGTTGGATACGTTTGTGTTACTGAGTTGGAAATAACATTCTATTATTCTAAAGGAAAACAACCTTATTTGGATACGTTTATGTTACTGAATCTTTGCAATCGTATTCATTTATCAATTGCATTTCATTTTATATTCCACTCACATTTGCTTCTTTTATGGTTTAAATAATAAAGGTTACAAGAATAGTAACATTTTTCTAATAAAATCAAAAAAAAATTGAAATGTAGCTTTTTGAATATTAATATACAATTGATATTTCATGATATAATAATATGCAACACTTAATTTGAACCCTAATATGCAATATAAAGAGTTTAAAAATGCATCATGTTTGCACAATATGCACAATTTGTACCTCATTCGCCTCGTCCCTATATACGAGGTTGTTAAAATCGTATTTTTGAATCGAATCTTTAGATGTTTTTGAAAATCGAATTGTAAAATCGAATAACAAATCGTAAGATTTTATCAAACATGTCTTAAAATCGTTAGCTGCAAGTTAATGGTATTGTATCATTTCATTACATAAAACTATACCTACAAGGTCCAAAACAAGACTTATAAACTATTTTAATAATGTAAATGTAGTGAATAATAACATTAATCATAGGTAAAACATAAAAATAATTAAATAACACAAGAATCCATTACTTTTTAAATATACTATTGATATTATTATAATCATTGTAACTATGTATCAATTTGAAGTAGTTACTTTTAATAAATTTGAACCATTTTCACTAAAAAAATATTTTCCTACAATTTTGCTCCGATTTTAAATGATTCTGCATGGTTTTTGTACAATTGTTTTACGATTTTATGATTTTACCTGTGGTTTGAATCGATTTATTAATGTAGAATCGTAAAATCGTACGATTTTACGATTTAAATCGAGATTTTAACAACTTTGCCTATATATGCGCAGTAGCAGAACTAGAGAAAAAATTAAGCAGGGGCACAATCACTTTATGTAAATCATCACATTAATAATAAAATTGTCTTAACAAATTACACTAACAAAACATACCAAATTTAATCAAAAGGGTTAACGTAATGGTGCTAAATCCAACCTACGGATCCTCATGTTCTGAAAACGTTGGATAATAACCTCATTATCGAAACTTATTGGTGTTTTTTTCCGGGGAAAATACTTCTCAATTGACATCCTCTAATGACAAATATTGAAACAACAAATAATTAATTCAAGATTTCAAGTCGAACTATTAATCTATCATAAATACTTCATTAATACAAACAAATGAAACAATACATTAACACAAAAAATTACAATAACACATAATCGTTATATTTAATTCAATCTATTTTACACAATTACACTACATTGTGACTACATATGACATTTTTTTCAAATCAAAAATATGAATTTAAAAAACATCAATAGTCAAATACCAAATTTTATTTAATTTCAAAGAGAAGAAATAGGAAGTGAAGTCGCCAAGTCGGAACATAGTCGCCTGTGAGGCTGTGACCGGTGTCCGGTGGGGCGGGGCGACCATCGCTTTACTCGCTTGGCCCTAATTTTTCTCCCAATCCAATACCAAACGACGTCGTTTTGTTTAATTAAAAAAAGATCTTCTTCCTCAATCGGTCGCAGCACACGAACAGACGAACGGTTCCACTTTGCTCCAGCCCTCCTTGTTCACCGGAAATTTCAACGCAGACCTCCGGCGGCTCCCCATACCCCCATATCTCCGGCGGTCGAAGCAGTGGCACCGGCCCCCTTGCCCCCCGGCAGTTCCGCCCCTGTATATGCGTGTGTGTTTTCATACAACAACAACAACAACATCCAAGCCTTAGTCCCAAAAGATATTGGGGTCGACTAACATGAATCGATACATGATATCACAACCAAAAGGAATGCGTGTGTGTTTTCAACATCCAAGCGTGTGTGTTTTCATATTCCTATAAAATTCGAATTTTGTTTGAATCGAATATAATAGTTTTTGCACTTGTAGAGGCAGCTAAATTGACAAAATATGTTGAATTCTGAAAAATAATATTTAAAATATATTTTTAGAATAAAATGAAAAAAATAGTAAAATTAACTAAAGTCCTACTCAGCAAATTCAGTCAGAAAGTAACTTCAACCTTTCTCATTTTATTATTACATAATTGATCGCGCAAAATAAAAAACTATAGGGATAAGGGTCAAATTGGACACTATGGTTGTATGAGAATCTCATATCGAACATTAAAGTTTCAAATTGATCGAATTTTATGTGTTTCTGATCATTTTCGGACACCCATCAATGATTTTCACCTTGAAAGATACTACCTATAAGTATTCTTTTTCTCTTGTTTTTATCATTTTCATTTACCCCAGTGCCACAAAGGCTCCCACCTACGGTGGGGTAAGGGGGGGTCGGATGTACGCAGTCTTACCCCTGTACTAAAGCACAGAGAGACTGTTTCCGGATGACCCATAGTGAAAATCGCATCCAAAATTGCATGGACTGACTGTTGCTTCATAACAAAGAAGCGCAGACAGTTTAGTGAGTCATTTTGCTTTATTCCATCATAATCTCAAGCCAAAAAATAATGAATCTTTGGCTCCATTACTTTTTCTCTTGTTTTTATGCACCTAAAAAATAAATATAACTTATTTTGTGTATTTAGATTTAGAATATATAATTAGATGCTCCAATTAAGAAAATTTATTATAATGTAATTGAATTCTTTAATATTTGTAAATCAATTTAACAAATCGATATTTCTTAAAGTTCAATAAAAATCATATGAATGCAAAGTCCTAAATATATTTTTAAATTGTTAAAAATAAGAAGTTATTAATTAAAATAAAAATATATATTCTAAAACTTCAAATTAAATATTCCAAAATTATATACGTAATTAAATTGGTTTACTTTCACCAAAAAGGAAAGGAAATGTAAGACTAACGATTTTTATTAAGGGAAGAAGAGAATCATAAGTGAGTGTCCAAAAACTACGAATTATGAAATTTCAGTGTCCAATATGAGATGCATATGTAACCATAGTGTCCAATTTGGTATATTTAAAACCTTAATGTCCAATATGAGATTCTCGTGAAACCATAGTGCCGAATTTGAACATTATCCCAAAACTATATGTTTGGTAAGAAAAAACGGGGCATAATGTTACATAGTAGGGAGTATTATTTTAGGGAGGAGGGGGTAAGTCGTTTCCTTGGCGCCCAAGGTTTACAATTCTTGTACCGTATCAAGTAATATCCCATCGAAGCTCGTTCTTAGAGTTATTACTTAACTGGGACGCCAATACGCTTCTCCATATGCAGCCAGGATCTCAACCTCACCCGTGATCACCAAGTATTATTATTATTCATTCATTCATTTATTATAAAAATCTCATTCTTCCATAACCGGAAACATTCCAGCAATTTCCTAAGTTTACGCAGAGGCGAAAAGTTCACTAGAAGGCTTGCCAGAGCAACTATAACAAATCTTTCAAGGGGAAGGAGGGCACCCTCTAATAGCTGAATAAGAAGATTCATAGAACCTTACAGTTGAAAATTTGCTTGTTGAGTGAGCAGTATAAGATGAGAAAAAGACGCAACAGGTATGAACCTCTAGAGGAGATGTTAATGAGATGGAAAGCTTTAAATAACACCAACCAGGCTGCCACTGGTGTGGTTGTGGCTAGGAAGAAGAGGACGGCTGCTGCTGCTTGTCCTTCTCCTTCTCAGGGATCACCAAGCAAGGACTGCATTCATGGTAGAGGAGGACCTGAGAATTCAAATCACCAGTTCAGGGGTGTCAGGCAGAGGACTTGGGGAAAGTGGGTTGCAGAAATCCGGGAGCCGTCTTCTTGTGGTCTCGGTGATAGATATGGCGGTAAAGCGCGCCGCTATTGGTTAGGTACCTTTGACACAGCTGTTGAAGGTGCTCTTGCTTATGATATGGCTGCCAGGGTAATGTATGGCCCAAATGCCATACTTAACTTCCCAGATGGTGTAGGAGTAGAGGACAGATATGATTCTGGTTCCACAGTTTGTTCAGTTGATGAGGGGTCAGAACCATTCAGTGCAGAGGAGTCATATGTTTTGACAAGACATGATTCTGGTTCTTCCTCAATTTGCACGGTTGAAGACGATGAATCAAGGGTTTTTGTTCCCCAAATGATAGATTCTTTAAAAGAGTTTGAAGATGAAAAAATGCTGGATTTGAACTGTTCAGATCACTCCTGGGTTAGCCAGGATGAGAATAGAGATTCAGCTGAGCCGAAACCTGAGTTGAAAACACAACTTGACTATTTGCAGAGCCTTTTGCTGGAAGAAGACAATCACTATACAGATGAACACATAAACTTAACAGAAACCTTATTCTTCATGGAGAATCAGGATGGGAGTGATTTTTTTAAGAACCTGTTGCAAGAGAGTTTTAGTATGGCTCCAAACCTTGAGCTGTTTGATACAGATGATGATTCAAAAGCAAAACAAGATGGAGACTGACTTTATTTGCCGGAGCGCAGTAGATAGATTAGATCCAATACACTATACTCTACAATTATTTCTTGAGATTATTGTATGCTGGTAAAGAGGGAATAAAAGAAGAGGATAAAGACATTATTGATTACTTATTGTTTGATGTGTTGTCATAACAGTATTTTGCTTGCTTTATTACAAAGTAAAACCAAATACAATCATATCGAGACCAAAAGAAAATTTGTTCGGGGTTTGGAGGGGTATGATAAATTACCTAACCTATAACAGAAAAACATTCTCTTTCTATCAAATCTTTGCCCTTAGTCAGCTTTTTGTTCTTCACTAAAATGAACATTATAACACACAGCTACTAGATAACAAGTTGGAAGCTTTCTTTGTTGAAATGCTTTGATTTTCAACTCTCTTCACAGGTGTTACTAATATCTAAAAAGACTTGTAAAAGTAGCAGGTTCAATTTTATCTCTACTCATTGCTGGTTAGGTTGTAGCACATAGGTTATACCTGAGATCTTTACATTTTCTAGCTGCATATATGAGATGCTGACGGCTGAGCTTTCTGAGATACAGTTTTCATTAAGGAATCCAGAATTGCAAACCAAGTCATATTATTAGGACATACGTAGTTTACATATATACATACATAATATGTATATTATGTATACATACATACATCATATGTAAATATACTAAAGACTATTCATGTTCTGTTTTTTTTTTTGCACTGACAACCCATCCGCTACATTAGTAGTGTCCTGCTGGAATTCAGGCCATAGCAATTTCCAGGGTCCAGTTCTTGTTCCTAGTCTGTACAAATGTTAAAGACTGATCAGACTTAAACATACTAATTTATTTAAGGTAAATCCAATTCTTTTCTTTAGGCATATCAGGCTATGCTAAAATTAATGAATGATAGAATATTCTACAAAAAATCAAGAAGTATTCACTTTTTTAAAAAAATGATTGAGGTGCTTTGAAGAATATTCTTTGATAATCTAGTTAATTTATGAAAATTGTGGAGAATAATATTCTCTTGTTAACCTAACACATAGCCCTAAGGATTATAATTAGGTCACTCTTTATTTAATGCAAACAAACTACAGGAGAGTAAATTTACATGGTCTCTTGTCTGACAAAATAGACCAAAAGGTGGTGTTGTATTCACTGTATTCTTGTTTCTTACTTAGTATTACTTATTCTTGTTTGAGTTAAAAATAACAGATACATTCAGACTAAAACAGATTAGATCAAATCAGAAAGTTCAGATCATACCGGACTAAACATTTAAAATTTTCAGACTATTGAGTTTTTTTCACATCAGATCATGTAATAGACTATTAGTTTACCAGAATCGGATGATTTTAAAAACTTAACTAAGCAATAAGGCACTGTTAAAATGGCATGTCATATTTTGAGAAAAAATGAATAAGGAAATATTTGAAATAGAAATTATGGTTCTTGGAACAGTTAAAAAGAGAATCAGTGCACCTTAGGCATCCTGCTACCACACGCAAAGCCATGAGAAGAAACAACCCTGCCCAAACTCCAGCAAGACCAAAGAAAGGAGCAGCCACCAATAAGAAAGAGGAGGAGATCAATCCAATCACTAACTGGTCACCACAAGTAAAGAATAGTATTAGATAACACACAAGAGCAACAAATGCTAGTTAGAATAAAGAGCAATGCTATACCGTTGAGTAAGCAGCAAATTCGAAGTCTGAGACCCCGTAATATAGTCCATCAAAAACAAAAGCAATAGCGTTCACTGGTTGAGATCCAGCAACAAACTAGGCAAAATTTAAAAAAAAAACGTGTTAATTATTATTGTAAGAATATATTGCGTCATCTATAAATTTTCAAAACAAAAGATAAACAAATGATAAATTAGTATATATTCAATCTATAACTTAAACCGCATATGATTCTCTTAATTAACCCCCCCCCCCCCCCCCCCCCCGTAATATAGTTTTCAAAAAGCAATAGCATTCACTGGTTGAGATCCTGCAACAAACTAGGCAATTTTTCAGAAAAATAAAAAACTGCTTTAATTGTCATTTTAAGAATATATCGCGTCAACTTGAAATTTGTAAAATAAAAGATAAAAAATGACAAATTAGTATATACTAATGTACAACTCATTTATCTATTAATCCCACCCATATTGTCCTAAAAAAGATCATCCTTACCAAAGTACCATATTTGGCGATTTGTAGGACGTCATAGTCTGAGCTGAATAAGCTGGACAATGTTCCAAACCACAGGAGCAAGCTCACACCTAAGCCCACTCCGGTTACCATACCAATCTAACGAAAGAAATAATATTTAGAAAGTTGCACACCGCTAACTATTTCTTTTAATGGATGGGAAAATGGCAGTAGACTAGAAAAGCTGCCAACCTGCAAGACTTTGTAGACCACTTCACGTGCTCTGCTATAGTTACCTTGAGAATAATCACTGGCAAGGAAAGCCTTACAAAGAAAAAATAAGAGTAAGGTAAAAAAACATGTTTGGATTTTTAACATATGGAACTTCCAGTGATTGTGGGAATGCTGTAGCAAGTAGGAGGCTCATATATATACTTGGCCTGCCAGAGCTAAAGCATCAGTAAGCATAGACAATGCCAACCAAACTTGGAAACAAATCTGATGACCAGCCATAGATACTGGACCCTCTCTAGCAGCCAGTGAAGTTGCTAGTGTAGTGGTTGCAAAAACTGCTAATGTTCTCGCAGTAAGTAGAGCACCTGCCACGTGATATGAGCATGGTCAGCATAAGGCAGATTGTATGTTCGAGGGAAGAAGAGAAAGAAAGAAGGCATGGCTTATAAAAATCATTGCTTCTAAAGAGACAATAGTCCATGTAGATTCAAGTGTTTTAGTATTTTGGATGTCCCAATAAAATTCAGAGTCATGAAATTCAGCATTTTGGATTTAAGTCAGTAGTTAGGTACTGAAGTATATATCTTTCTTTGTGAATTTATGTTTATTAATATTAGAAAAGTAATTGAATATAAATCTCATTCAACCGATCCCAACATAGTTGGTATTATGGTGTTAATAGTGAGAATGAGTTTGGTGTTTGTGTATGCATTTTTTCGAACACCATAACCCATCTTGAACAGACTGAGTAGCATCAGGTTAGCAATAAATCAATGTATGATCTGGAACGGCCATTCAAGCATGTTATTCTAATCTAGATTATTATAACATACTTCGCATTTCTTAAATGTTACCAGATTTCAAATATCGAACAACTCTTCCCCCATCAATATCTGGAACAATAAGACTGACTCGTTCATTTAACTTGAAGAGCAGGATGGAAGCAATCAAGTACCTGATAAACATAATGCATAGGAAAAAGGTAAGGCAAAAAGAGGTTACGTGCTGAAAGATCTGTAAAACGTGTATCCAAAGTAATTACAGAACAGTTTTTACCACATTTTAAACATACTCAGAAATCACAGTAGCAATTGCAGCACCACTTATGCCAAAACCACAGAAAAATATCAAAATTGGATCCAATATTGCATTCAGCAAGTTACCGGTACCTGTATCGTCGAAAAGACTTATGTGACCAAATGACATAGTATAATGCTTGAGCTTTTTCATTTACAACAATATTTAAGCCTTAGTCCCAAAAGAGTTTGGGGTCAACAGCCTTTTCATTTACTTGGGGTATATCTGGATACCCAAAAATGCTAGGGCGAGAAAAAGGGGATCAAACAAGAAGGGAAATTTATGGAAGGAAATAGAAATTGGGGGAAAGTGAAAAATTGGTTCAAACTCAACAACTCAAAATTTAAATGTTCTCTTCAAACATATAATATTTACATATTACTACTTTATAAAGACTATGAATATAAATATATGTAAATTTATAAATATTTTGCGATCAAATACCCCAAATGGTTTTCCTTCGTATTTTCCAAGTAAACATTAAACATAAAAAACTCTTACCCTCACACTTTTCTCCCCTATTCTACTTTATTCCGTGTTGCAAACATAACCTTGAGGTTTTCATCCCTAAGATGGTCCCACGTTCACAAGAGTTGTAATGTTATTTATGGAAAAAATCAGGAATTAGATATACTTGCCAACTGCATATAGAGGAGTCTTTGTGTCCTTGAACCCACGGAAGGTTCCCTGAGTGGCAAGTGCTATTACAACTGCTGGAGCACCAAATGCCCTCATGGTAAGAAATTGCTCAGCAGGTGTGCGCATTGGCGAATCCTGTAAAATTGTAACTCACAAAATATGAATGAGCTAAGTCAAGAAACTTCATAAATAAAACTCTAAGACATTCGATGAGCATCTTATTTGAAGCTAATTACTCCATATATATTTCCGTTCTGGTGGACCATAAGCTCACACCCATCCCACACCAAAAGGGAAATTAAAAACCACACGACTCTTAATTTACATATTATCTGATTAAAAAAGCTAATAAGTGTGCCAGTAAACATGAGATAATTTGTTAGCTTTTTAGTATTGGCAATAAAGATTGAGGACTTGAGAAAGTATGTTAGAAAAAAGTAACACATACAGCAGTTATACCCATTGTATCCATCAGAAAGCTGGAGCCAAAAGAAACTGCAATAGCTTCTGCAATGCCAAGGCCCGTAGCAAGTGCTAATGAAGTTGATATTGAAGGAAGAATAATTTTGCCATGTTGACCGGCACCACCATCTACCCAAAGAAACATAGCCGAGCAACAGGAGTTGATTTCAATGTCATTCCAAATGTAAAATACAACATCAGTAAATATGAAATACATTATACATATTTATATATTATGGTAGTTAAAAAATTACCAGTTTTCAGTAATGCCTGCTCTTCGGCAACAAAAGAAGTTGTAACATTCAGGAGAGGAATGTTGAACAACTTCGATACAAGGTTGAACACTGATGCTGAAACCCCGACTGCTGCCAATTCAACCGATCCTACGAAATTTCAGAGCATAAAATTGATGGCAAATATGTGTCCATAGCTTATAGTTATGCAAAAAAAAAAGCTTAAATTCTGAACTGTGTTCAAGTCCGAAATCAATTTGATTATTAAAGAAAAACAGATATGTTTATATGACCATGGGTTAAACCGGCTTAATACTAACTAGGTAATCGATTGGATCCAATTTCTTAGTCTTGTTTGACCCAAGTGTTGTGTAACCCAATTTTGGCGAACCCAAACAAATTATATTGCGTATATTTTATCATGGTATATTCCATCAATTGCAATGGAGCAAAAGATTCACTATTTTTTGGTTTTGGAATATGATCGAATAAAGTAAAATGACTCACTAAACTGTATGCGCTTCTTTATTGAAGTAGCAGTCGGTTCATGCAATTTTTGACGCGGTTTTCACTATGGGTCATCCGGAAACAGTCTCTTTGTGCTTCGGTACACGGGCAAGAACGTGCACATCCGACCCCCCTTACCCCACCGTAGGTGGGAGCCTTTGCGGCACATTTACATCATTGGAGCAAAATAACTAGAATGTGGACATCTTTAACCAACATGTTTTCACTTACAATGCCATCAATCAAAACATATACGAAGTATTTACATAAGTGGAACAAAATATTTTGAAGTCTAAATCTTTAACAAACGGGAGTACCCAAGTGGCCAACGAATGCAGTATCAATAAGCGAAGCAATGGGGTCAGAAGCCAGAGCCAGTGCAGCAGGCAATGCAACTGATAAAATCTCCCTAACCAGTCCATCCACTTTAAATCCCTCTCTGAAACAGTAAACAAGAAAGTTTAAATAATAGCATAACACGAAACAAGAAATAAGCCGGTAATAGATTAATGAAGTATGTAGAAAATGGTACAATATGGGAGAGGCCGAGTTCCAGAGAGACGGCCGTAATGGAGGATCCGGATCCGGATTGTTGACCCCGGAATCCGAACTAGATGAAGATTCGGTTCTAGATTCGGAATCATGAGCTGATTTGTCCGGCTTAACCCCCGGGACTTTGTTCAGATATGATTTGGCAGTAGTCCTAAAGCGAACTGAAACTTTACAGTTTCGTAGATTCCGGTGAGTGAAAACGGAGGAAGAGAAGTTGTGTGAGCTATGGAGAAGTGAATGCGTCAAAAAATTGTGGTAGCAGTAGCGATGAGAGACGCTAGACGCCATGGTTGGGTGGCTTCAGTTTTGATTGGGAATCCGAAACTCTTTAAGCCCGTCGTCGTTACAGGGGATCAATACATGATTTGGAATCCAAAGTTCCAATTAAATAAACTGAAATAACGGTTGGCAGCAAAGATTAGGCTTCGATCCTCAAGATGTTGCCACCCTATTCCCATTATCTCGTTTAAATTTAAAGATTCTCATTTTCTTATTTTTGAACATTTACATAAGTTTTTATTTTTTATTTTAATAAATAATTAACACTATTAAATAACAATTTGATCATAAAATATTAAAAAATAAAATAATATCACAAATATCATCAATAACCCATTACATTATATACTCATTAAAATTATTTCTCAAAATATTCACGAATTAGCATATTTAATTATTGTCTAAATAATTGTATTATTTTGCTATGAGAATCTTTGAACGGGATGAAGGTAGTATGAAATCTTAAATAAGTCAGATTATACTAGACTAAATTTAAACATACACGCAGTATTAGATTAGAAATATAAACTATATTGTAATAAAATACTAGTATATCAAAAATTTACCAAACATAATTAGATTTCAAAAAATTAGAATATATTTAAAAAATCAGTTAAAATGAAAATATCAATAATTATCGGAGGTTGTGTAAGCTATACTTGAGTCTGAGTAGATGTAAATTATAAGTGCATATACTTGTACCAATCAAATAGTAATGGATAGGACCAAATTTGACTAGACTTGCACAAATTGGATCATACAAAAAAAAATATAACTCAAAATAAAAACATGAGTCTTGGTGGAGGTTGTGTAATGTCATGGCCGGAGATGACTTGATTTCAGCACTGTTGTAGTACTTGTCAAGGATACCCAATTGAGTATCCGACCTAGTCACATCTCTTGTCCGATTGTCCTATAAAAAACACCATTCACATTCTCATTTGAGATATTCATTAACTCCTATCAACACCTAGAGTTTATCCTTGTAACTTAAGTAGTCCTTTGTTTTGCATGTTGTGAGTTTTTTCCTTTAATATTAATTACATCTCCCATTATATTTTAATATTTTATTACTAGAATCGATAATTGAACGGGTCGTGCACTTTCCAACCCATATAAGATAACTAATGTCATCTTGAAATCACAATAAAAAAACTCAGGAATGACCTAATTTTATATTAGGCACGTAAAGTCGTAAAAGCAGATGTAAAAATTACATATATGATACGTAGTACATGATTTGTTATCAGTACAAATAGCAACGCTGCAATAATAATTTCTTAAAATTCATTGGAAAGAGTGATTACGTCAAAATTTCCTCTTTTAATGATGAAAATAATAATGGTTCTATTTGATGTGTTAAGATGCTTTTTAATTGAATTAATATTTTCTGTTTAAATTTGATCTATTTAAATTTGATCTTAATTATTTATATTAAGTTTAGTCTAATATGTTTATGCTTTGCCTAATAAATGTTAGGGTCTTTTCTAGGGTTTGGGGAGGGGGCTAGAAGAGCTTAAAGTGAATAAGATTGAAACGGCTTCAATTCCATGGATATATATATATATATATATATATATATATATATATATATATATATATATATATATATATATATATATAGTACTACATATAAAAAATACATTTGTTAATATAGTATACATATAGAGTACATAGTAATATAGTACGGAGTATCATACTTAATTAGACACGTAGTATTATGGTAGAACCAATGTTTTAAAAGGCGTTAGGCAGTAGTTGGGCCCAGCTCAACGCCTAGCGACTAGGCGGTTAGGTGGGTTGCTAGATGAGGATTAGTCGGAGACATAAAAATTATAGTTTTATCAATATTTTTGCATAAATATGATTAATAATGTTGTGTTTGTGTGTGTATAAACATATATAGTTTTTATCTTAATCTACAACTAGTAGTTTTTTTGCATATGCATGGTTCAAGTTATGATACATATATATCTTAGAATACTAAATTATAAAAGCAAAATAAAATGTTTGATGAATCTAGACGCCTAGGCAACCGATTAAGCGCGTTGAGGAGGTAACTAGGTACCCTAGATGACCGACTAATAATTCACCTAGGCGTCAAATCAATTAGTCGGAGCGTCTAGATTAAAATTGGGAAGCTCGACCACCGCATAACGTCTATGCGGGGACTAGTTGGACGTTACAATGATTTTTAGAACAATGGTAGAACTCTTGATCTGGCTTGGAGTTTGTGGAACTGTACTGTGTATTCTTTGGTCGAGGAGTTATATGTGCATGGACTATGGTCCTAGCTTTACGCCTTTATTTACTATTGAATTAGCACGAAGAAGCCATGAAACTCAGGATGGATAACGCTACAGACGACCAAATTAAAGACTTCAAAAAGTGAATTGAAGCTCTGCCATGATATGAAATGATCGTCCATGGTGCTATCCCTCCTGAGCTTTACAGATTCTCCACACATTTTGATTTTGTATCCTGACTAAGCTAGCTGAAGAGATGAAGAAAGATTTGGGTTCTGGAAATTGGAACGAAAGGAATGAAATTGCAGAAGTTAGCTAGGAATGAAGATGGTGAGAATAGTAGTGGTAGGCTGCTGCAAGCTCAAGAACCCTAGTCACTTACTTATAGTGGCAGTTTACGTGGGAAGGAGACTAGAGGGAGACAGAAAAATGTGTAAATTAATTGCTCATGCCTTAATTTGCGGCAATTTTTTTATTTTTTTTACTCCATACAATTTACTAGATGAAAATATGTCACTCATAGAATTTACTCCATTTCCGGCTTTTCCGGTTTATTGAAAGACGTTTGTCCTTCCACCATGGTCAATTATTAATATACGGAGTATTTAGGATGTCTTAGAAAAGATCTTTTTAATAACCGTTAGCTTTTAATGACTGAAAAGATCTTAAAGAAAAGAGGTGGTAACTGTTTGGTAAAAAGTTGATTGTTTGATTTAGTTCGGTTTGATATACAAGCTGTTATGACTAATTAATACTAAAAGTCAGAGTCTTTTTTCAGATGCTACTCCCTGTAGCATCTCAAAAAAGATTTTTTAATTTTTGAAAAGCTCTTAAAAATTGTCATGCCCAAACATATAACTAGAAACTTTTAGAGACTTTTTGAACTGTATAAAAGGTAGAAGGTAGAGACTTATGTTTGCCAAACATAGTCGTAATGTGATCTGATCTGTTTAGATTTGACAAGAAATGATATGATATTGGATTGAGATCAATCCAATTAAAAGCATGGTAGTCTAAGAAAAGCTCTCACTTGGAATCAAAATTTCTTGTGTATTGTATTTAAGGAGAACTGATCTGATCAAGCGCACCTGATCAAATATTTTGCACGACCAAGCCCTTTTGACAGTCTTTAGAGTCAAAATTTTGTGAGCATGCTTTTCATGAAGTGTAGTTAATGTTCACAAAGTTTCAGCTTAAAACTCGATCAGAAAATCAGTTAAATAATTTTTTTAGAAACATTGTGCTTTAATTTATATATAAAACACATTGTTTTTCAACAATTTATTTAACTCACTTCTCGGTTGAATTTTAAGTCAAAATTCTATGTACATATAGGCTGGGGTTCTCAATCGAATGTGGTTAGGCCTATTTCTTGCAGACTAGGCCTGACCCGCTCATTCAATTGGGCAAAAAATTTAGAAAAACTCTGCCCGAATCCAGCTCGAACCCGTTTTTTGCAGGTCTAACGCGTAATATTGTAATATACTTCCTCCGTCTCTTTTTAGTTGCAACAGTCAACATTTCACGTTTGCCAACGCACAACTTTGATCGTCATTATATTTAATTCTGTATTAGTAAAAATAAAATAAAAATCAGATTATAAAACTTAGTAATGAGACGAATTTAACAACATGTTTCAAAAAAAATAATTCACATACATTAATAAATAAAATGTAGTTAAAGTAAAGTACATCAATAGTGTATATATGCCAATGTTGCAATTAATGAGATACGGAGGATAGTATATGTTGTGTTGTATTGTGTTGTATTTTATTGTATTATATTGTACTTCATATTGTATTAAACTCTTATAGGTCAACAAATAGACCGGTTGCAAATCATGTTCTAAAATTGAGTTTAGTGTACACTCTAGTATGGTATTCTCAAGTTCCGTCTTTTTTTGGTAATTTTTACACGGTGTTAATTTTCAAAAGTCCATCGTAACTTTGGATTCTTGTTTCAAAAGCAGTTAATTACAAGTCTCAAGTATATCTCAATTCTCGACATCAACAAACAAGGGTTAAGTTTCGACATGCATACTAATTATGAGTCCTTCTACTATACCTATTGTTTTGAGTCTTTTGACGATCTAATTTCACAAAATACATTACTTTATTCATACTCAAATGCACATCTAATTTCACTGTGAGGCCATTTGGCAACACTGTTTTTCGGCTTATCAAGCTTATCAGTCAACTTTTTCACCAAACACGTAACTTTAGCTTTCGCGCGCTGAATTGTGTAATAAGCAGAAAAAGTAAGGTTGAAGTTACTTTTCTGACTGTATTGGCTGAAGTTACTGTAGATGACCATTTTAGCTATTTTTACATATATTTTTTTCTTTATTTTATTAATAAAATATATTTTAAAATTATTTTTTTCTTAAATCAGCAGAATTAGCCAATGCAGCCATTTCAGTCAGAACTTCATAAATTTCAGAAGAATCAGCCAAATGCAGCCATTTTAGTCAGAACTTAATTAAAAGTCAAAGAGCAAGGCATTTATTTTTACACTTTTTAAAAATATAGTTTTTAGTGAAATTCTTACACTTTTTAATCTACATCAACTTTTAACCAAAAAAATTTACGAAAATTTGAGGATTCGATCACAGTTCTTTACACTCAATTTTTAAATTCCTAATTTGCCTTTAGACACTCTTTGTTATAACTGAAAATGAGATCATTATACGCAGGGGCAGAGCCAGGACATTGAAAATGAGATCATTATACACAGAATATTTTACACTAAAAATATAGACATTTTTTAATATTGGGTAAATATATTGAAAAATTGAATTAACAGGGTGAATACATAATTTTGGTTTAAGCTGGTTGAGAATTACGTTTATTGACGGTGCATTAGAAAAAATTCCACTTTTGGTCTCATGACTATTATACCACTTCCACATTTAATTCCTTACTTTCAGATTATC